AGTTTTTCAGGGATTATGGAAAATCACAACACACATCTGGCACCCCAACAACCTTGTTCTAGCACCAGCGAATGTGGCCGTTTTCTGGGGTCTGCTGGGCCCAGGTGGCCTCACAGCCTCTACCAAATGCTTCCAACAGTGGAACCGCTTCCCCCAGTGTGCCCCAAGTACCTCCTGGACCTACTCTGCTCCTGGGGATTTGCCTTTCCCACCAGATCAGCACCACGTATTGAGTTGCAGAGTTGCAGACTCTGTACTCCCCCTGTTTATAGTCTTAATGGAATTTAAACCCTCTCCTTTCTCCCTTTTTAGTTCAGTCCTTGTGGCTGTTTCCAATTTTCAACTTCTCTCCAGCTGCTTTTGGGGAGGGGTGCTTTTCCCATATTCTCCCCCCCCCCATCTCTGTCTTCTCTCTGCATGCAAAAGTGGCTCCCTGCCCTCCGCGGCTTCTGTCTTCCCAAGTTCACCTCTCCACACCATGTACCTGCTGAATTCTGTGGTTCAGGTTGTGCAGATTGTTGTGTTAATCCTCCAATCAGTTTTCTAGGTGTGTAGGATGGTTTAGTTTTGGTCTGGCTGTATTTCATGGACACGAGACAGGCAAAAAACTTCCTTGCTGTTCTGTTATCTTGGCTCCTTCCTGTTGGGCCTTACATTTAAGAGCATGGTCCCTGTAGGGGTGTCTGGGTGGCTCAGTCGGTTAAGTGTCCCACTTTGGCTCATGTCAGGGTCTCGTGGCCCCGAGTTTGAGCCCCACGTTGGGCTCTGTGCTGACAGCTCAGAGCCTGGAGCCTGCTTCAGATTCTGTGTCTTCCTCTCTCTCTGCCCCTGCCCCACTCACGTGACATTTTTGTCCAAGACGACATCCACAGAGTACCTTGTGGGCACGAGCTGATTGTAGTTACAAACTTTCACCTAAGACTTGAACTTGGTCTTTGACCTCTAGGCGTTTTCTTCTTGCCCATGGCAGCTGTCACTTTGAGCAGATAGCAGTCAATTCCAGCCAACAGAACATGGCTCTATGAACAGTCTGAGGCGTCATTATCAATGTTCTTCACGATAACTACTCTGTGTCCAGAGTAATGTCCAGCCAGGAGCAGCACCACTTTTCCAGGTTCCGTGAACTTGCCCATCTTGACGTAAGGCACTCGAGCTTACAGGAGAAAGCAAAAAAGGGCTGGAGCTTCTCTTGATTTTGATATTTATGTTTTGTTTGCTTTTGGTCTTGCCACACGGGGGCATGAAACTGACACACACACACACACACACACACACACACACACAATGATGTTAAACCATCAATAAGTCCACAGTGACGAGCAGAAACAAATGCAAACCGATTCTGGAGTAGGACACACGCTACAATGTGGATGATCCTTGAAAACATTATGCTAAGTGGAGGAAGCCACACAAAAAAGGTTACCCAGTGTAGGATTCCGTATATATGAAATATCCAGAGAGGTGAAAACACAGAAACAGATGCAGCTTGGTGGTTGACAGGGGCTACCTGTGGTGGTGAGAAGTGGGGTGCAACTGCTTAATGAGTATGAGGGTTCCTCTTGTGATAATCGAAATGGTTTTGAACCAGGTAGGGGTGGTGGTTTAGCAATGTTGTGAACGAACTAAATGCCA